CTGTTTTTGACAAATATTCTTACCAGAGTGCTCTTGTGTTGTATCTCTACATATTGAAACTATATCACTTTTGTTTTCAGATTACTGAATAAATCAAAGTAACCCTAAGAGTTTAGATTTTGTTGAGATGATAATCAAGAGAAAAAAATATTGATTTAGAAAATTTTGCTTGTAGATAGCAAATGTCAAAATATGTAAGAGTTTAGAAATAAGATTTTAAAGGATTCTGTTTTTTCAATTATTTTTCTTCTTAAAATCCTTTAACGATCTCTTGCTTTGAACATTTTACCTGTCATAAGCATAGGTAAGGTGCCAGTTGAAAACTAATTGTTTATCATTTGCTTTGTAAAATATTACTCATTTTCTTAGTGAAAGGTTAAATTCTCTCCTGAGAACTCTCATAATAATATCCTGTGTGTATCAGTAGACTTACCATTTTGCTTTATAGTTCTCTCTTTGTCATTTTGTTCCTCCGTAATGTGACTTCCTTGAAGCAGGGAATGTATATAATTCATCTTTGTTATATCCCCAGACCCAAGCACAGTGTGTAATGCCTGAATGGTGACCAATAATTGCATGCTAAGTGAAGGAAGGGAAAATAGGGGATAGAGTTTGTTCACCTAATTTAATTAAAGCTTAAGCATGCCAGCTATCACCTGAATTTAAATGATTGTTGAGCAGGAAGGGAATAATCTTATATCTTTTTAACCAACTGTTTGAAATACCAAACGTTAAGAATCTTACAAGAGAAGTGACTGAAATTCATATTATATCTACTGTTGTGATAAATCACATAAATTTCAGCTACATTTTGAATTATTTAATATTAAGGATAATTTATTTTTGGCCTTTTTTAACAGGAGGTAACAAGTCTCAAGGATGCCAAACAACTTTTGATTCAGCAGAAATTGGAGCTTCAGGGAAAAGTAGACTCCCTGAAGACTACTCTTGAACAGGAGAAGAAAAACCAGCAAGTCCTGAAAGAGCAGGCGAAAAAGGAAGAAGATGAGCTGAAAAAAGAATTCACTGAGAAGGAAGCTAAATTGGTTAGTGGGTAATGATGGCATATTCACCTTATGATAGAGCTCTGAATCAATCCAGCGAAAGGGGATTTTTCCACTTAAAAGTTATGTTTGAAGTGCTCACCTAGCATTTTAGATTTTGATTAAGAAAGCAGATCTAATTTGTTTAAATAGCTGACATGTGATTGGAAATATTTTACTCTAATCAGATTTTAGTTTATGTGAGTGAAAATCAGAGTAAAACATAACTCAAAAAAAAAAATTTTTTTTTAGTGTCAAAACCCAAAACAAACAAAAAACCAAAAAAAACCAAAAAACCCACAACTATATAGATTGAAGTAAATGGCATGAATGCTAATCATGTGAAACTCATTTGTTTGGTCAAAGTGTGCATTGAAAAAAGGGGAACGGAAACATCAGTTTGGAATTATGATGACCAGGGTCTGCCTTTCCTTCCTTAAGTTGTGCATGCCAAATGGGAAGCATCTGGCTTTCCTCTGTTGAATTACGTCCAAATATCCTCAGATAACTTGACCTCTGAATGGTTTAGGTGAAGAGTTAGTTTCAAGTCAAACCGTGATTTGAAGGGTTTATATTATTTTTTGGCAGGTTGATGGAGAGAAAAGGATGCATGTGGAGTTGGGAGATACAAGGAAATGCCAGCTTTGTCTCCAGGGCACCTTGCTATTCCTAACCATGTGTGTCTTCCCCTGCTCGGGTGGAAAAAGAAATCTCAAATTGCTTCACTTTAGCTTGACATTTTAAGAGGGTTGCTAACCATCATTTCAGCATTATGGTCTCTGAGCCAGCTCAGTTTACACAGATGCGGAATCGGTTTTATTAGTTTATAATGAAGTATGTTCTTTTGCCTCTTTTCCTGAAGTAATGTTATTTATGCTGCCAATATTTTAAATTCAATAAATAACTTAAATGTATTTTACACTACTTTTGTAAGTTTTTTGCCCATTTTTTCTTTTCTCAGCATTCTGAAATAAAAGAAAAAGAAGTAGGAATCAAGAAGCATGAAGAAAATGAAGCGAAACTTACCATGCAGATTACTGCATTAAATGAAAATTTAGGCACTGTAAAGAAGGAGTGGCAGTCTAGTCAATGGAGAGTTAGTGAACTTGAGAAGCAAACAGATGACCTACGGGGTGAAATTGCAGTATTAGAAGCAACGGTGCAGAATAATCAAGATGAAAGGAGAGCACTGCTAGAAAGGTGATTGATGTCTAGTAAAATTAATTTATTTCCATTGTAAGTGACAAAAAAGATTGTCCTAGTCCACTTTTTTCTTCAAAGTTTTAAAATAGAAGAATCTTGAGAAAAGTGCATAGCTCCTGCAGTGTTATTTAAGTTGCCATTTAAAATCTAACCCTTAAGACAATCAGGTAGTTTTAAATTACTGTATTGTATTTAAAGTTACTAAAGTAGTCCATCATTTATAGTCTAAATGAGTTTTTGATGATTTAAAAAAAATTAATTATCTCTTTCCAATCTATTCCAGATGTCTTAAAGGCGAAGGTGAAATAGAAAAGCTTCAAACCAAAGTAGTAGAATTGCAAAGAAAGCTGGATAATACGACTGCAGCAGTGCAGGAACTGGGCAGAGAAAATCAGTCCCTTCAGGTAAGTCACTGGGTGATGTGAGACAGTTTCTTAGTTTAAATTTACCTCTTAGTAAAAAGCGTATTTTCAGTCTTTTTTTTTTTTTTATCTCATATAATTAATAAATCCTTTTGAATAGCTACTGTCTGTCAGTATTGTAGATGTTATGAGTAATTAAATATAAAAGAAAAAGGACTTGTCTGAGAGACCCCAGGCATTATTTAGAGAGCATGTCATTCATGAATTATCAGTACTAGACAAAATTTACAAAATTTCAGACTATTAAAGAATAGATGAGTCAGTTTGTGTTAAAGAAATGGTCAGAATATTTGCTCAGTGTCCTGAGGGTGGGTGGAAAATCACCGATGATTAGAAGTCACCAGTGCCTTTGAGGAATAAAATTTGGTTTATTTTTACTTTTATCTTATCATTTGGACTTAGGAATGTAGCTACTTTTGGTAGCAGAATTTCTGATTTTTAAAATTTTATCCCATGTTGCATATAATAAAAAATTTTTTATAAAACTCTGGAACCAAATTAGAAATGTGCTGTCATTCTTTAAAACATTGAATATTATGATGTATTGAAACATCTTTTTGTTTTGTTTTTTAAATAGATCAAACATACACAAGCATTGAATAGAAAGTGGGCTGAAGACAATGAAGTACAAAACTGTATGGCTTGCGGAAAAGGCTTTTCAGTAACTGTGAGACGGGTAAATGATTTTGTTCCTCTAGCTATGTTTCTGCATTTTATTCCTCAGTGACAATTAATGTTTTAACCATCAAAATAGTCCTGCATATCACAGATATTAAAAACTTCCCATTTATTAGTAGACTTTAATTTACAACTATATTTATTAATTAAACTTAATGCAGTCTAGTTTCTGTGTTTGAATTTTATAGTCTTAAATTCAAGCATTGCCTAACTACTGAATCACCCTATGGAGCAATCATTTTCTGAATCGGTTCTCCAGTATGAAACTTACCATGTTTCAGCAATAGTTGGGTTCTTTGAAAGGGCGAAAAAGCAGAGATTTAAAAAAAGAAAAAGAAAATGTATTCTAAATAATACCATCATGTGAAGAGTCAAGTTTACATCCTACTGAAGGCATTTTGGCTAGAACATTTGGTGGATAGGAATAGCATTTTTTATCTGCTGGGGGTGCTTTATTAACAACACTTTAAGAATTGCCTCCTAGGGTTCTTTTGAGAATTCCGTGATATAATCCGTATAAAATATTTAGCTTAGTGTCTGATAAATAGAAAGCATTCAATAAATTTTAGCTATTTTTATTTTAATATCACTCAGGGATTAAATTAACATATTGAAATAGTATATTATTAAATAATACACCAATTACTTGAAAGTTAATATATCTTTACAGTGTAGTTTGTAAGATTCATGTAGTCTCATAAAGTTTTCTCTGTAGTTTTTATGCTTGAAATTCTTTAATTGTTGTCATTTACAGCATCACTGCAGACAGTGTGGAAATATCTTCTGTGCTGAGTGTTCAGCCAAAAATGCCTTAACTCCTTCTTCCAAGAAGCCTGTTCGTGTCTGTGATGCATGTTTCAATGACTTGCAAGGATAATGGATTATCACAACATCACAGTAATATTACACTAACATTAGATTTTTAATAAATGCACTTAATAGAGTACTTGGACTACTATTTGATTTGGACAGCGGTTGCAATACTAGACCAAATTAGAATTCGTATATTTTGAAAGGTTATCAATATCAAGTAAAACTCTTCTATTTTTGTGAAACTTGGGTTCATCTTTCATTATTTTTTTCCATTTAACCCCCGGGGTTTTATGCCAAGTTTAGAATTAGCCAATGAAATGTAAATAAACTTTGGACAGAAAATAGCAATGTATTTTTTTAAATATAATTTAATTGTTCACAAATAACATGACTATGATTCCATAGCTTCTTTCTCCCAAATTTAAGGTACAAAAATGTACTTAAAGGATGTTGTCACTTGTGTTTTTGTTGCACAATAATGCATTATTATATAAGATATTCTTTGTGAAGTCATGCACAGAACTGTAAAACTTTCTAACAAACTTTTTTTCTTATGTATAGGTCCATAGATCAATTGCACTGTTATGTTATAAGTTTACTACTTGAGTATTCTAAATACAGTTTATTTTAAAATATGTATTAACCATGAATTCAAACATGGCCTTTGTTTTAACAGTACAGATAAAATTCTCTTGGAGGGATTTTATGAAAACCTCTATAAAATCAATTTACTTACTTTTTGGTTATCCTGGGGTTGTATTTTAAAGATTAGAGTTAATTTTTCTTTTTGTCTTTTTCTATCTCACTTTTAAACCCCTTCATACTCTTTATTATGAACCTTAAAAAGCTTCCTACCTTCATCCCCAATTGGAGGATGAATAATAGACACTGTATAATGGTCCCATTCTTTGTTTCTGGTAAGTGGGAAGTCTTCTGAGATTAGCCTTCATATTGTAACTTCGTTTGGTCTCTCCAGCATCTTCAGGAATCTGGGTTTGCTTTTTTTCTTAAGGGATCTATTTTTTTCTTAATTTGGTTTAACCTTCCCAAGCATAGCTTAGCTTCACTGTAATTGTTTTATAAATCTGCATCTTCTAGTAATTGATATTGCTACAGCCTTATCTGTAAAAACAAAATTAAAAAAAATAATAAGACATTAAATATTCTACTTTATATTTCTTATCTATTAGGGAAGAATTTTTCAGAGTTGTAAAACTGACTTAAACTTAAATTGATTCAGAATTTGGGGCTTCATATCAACTGGGAAATCTTTTTACTTTGTAAAAATAATGCTGAGCAATTACCTTGCAGTAACAGCTGGACAAGAAAGTATCACCAAAAATAAATGTATTCAGAAATCCCAAAGTTAATTATGAAAACTGAAACAGCGTAAACACCATTAGGATAATGAATGATTAGCCTATTTGTATGTGGAATAATGGCATTGAACTTTAACTTATTACAGTCTCAGTAATTTGGAAAATGGGACAGAGTCAGCATTAATACTGGTTTATTACTTTCTTTAGAGAAGAAATACAATGTCACACATTTGTTCAGTGCAGTCATTTGCTAACAATAACAGGGAAGGACTGAAGTTAGCATTTCATTTACAATAAATAGTTTGTAATATGCACTTGCTTTCAAATGCCATGCTGAATTAAAATGATCATGTTTATACTATGCCTGTGACATACATAAACTAAAAGAGATTGCCATGTATTCGTTTAATTATAAAAAAAAACAAAAACACTTAAGTAAACCTTGTTGTTATTAAAGACACTGATTGAGTCCCTGGACTTAGAAAAATGTATATATCCTTAAGCATAAATAATGAAGAAATACAATGATTCTTTATTTTTTAATTTTTTTTAATTGTACTTCAGGTGAAGGCTTACAGAAGAAATAGTTTCTCATGAAACACTAGTACACATATTGTTTTATGACATTGGTTAACAACCCCACAACATGTCAACCCTCTCTCTTCTTGACCTGTTGTTTTTTCGTGAAAATATACATATCCAAAGATACACCATTTCAAAAATTTCTACATGCACAGTTCAGTGACATCGACTACGCTCTCCCAGTTGTGCTGCTATTCTCACTTTAGATGAAGGCTTACAGAACAAAATAGTTTCTCATTTAACAGTTAGTACACATGTTGCCCTATAACAATGGTTAACAACCTCACAATGCATCAACACCATCCTTACTCAAACTTGGGTTCCCTATCACCAGCTTTCCTGCCCCCTTCTGCCTTCTGGCCCTTGTCCCTGGACTGCTGTGCCTCATCAGTCCTATTTGGTTTTATGGGGCTGTCCACTCCCCGGCTGAACGGTGAACCTCGGAAATGACTTCACCACTGAGCTAAAAGGGTGTCTGGGGGCCATACTCTCGGGGTTTCTCCGGTCTCCTTTAGGCCAGTATATCTGGTCTCTTTTTTGGAAGTTAGAATTTTATTCTACATCCTTCTCCAGCTCTGTCCAGAACCCTCTGTTGTGATCCTGGTCAGAGCAGTCAGTGGTGGTAGCCAGGCACCATCTAGCTGTACTGGACTCAGTCTGGTGGAGGCCTTGGTAGCTGTGGTCCATTAGTCCTTCGGACTAATCTTTTCCTTGTATCCTGTTCTCTTCATTCTCCCTTGCTCCCGAAGGGGTGAGACGAGTGGAGTACCTTAGATGGCTGCTCACAGGCTTTTAAGACCTCAGACGCTTCTCACCAAGGTAGAATGTAGAACATTGTCTTTATAAACTGTGTTATGCCAATTGAGCTAGATGTTCCCTGAGACCATGGTCCCCACCCAGCAATTCAGTCCCCTCAGGGAGTTTGGATGTGTCTATGGAGCTTCCATGACCTTTCCTTGTATAAGTTGTGCTGGTTTCCCCTGTATTGTATACTGTCTCACCCTTCACCCAAGATACCACTTATCTATTGCCTATTTAGTATTTCCCCCCACTGCTGCCATCCCCAATGATTCTTTATTAAAATAATAGTTGGATAATATAAACTGAGCTAAAATTATTTATGAATTTGCATATACTTCCAAACCCTGTCAAATAGTCTTAATTCTCCACTTTAACATAGAAGTAACTTAATAAACACAGACATTCACAGTTCCACTGTTATTGCTTTTTTTAAAATTAGTAAAATTCATAAGAATTCTTCAGAATATTTGTTTGCTTCATCTCCTGTAATTAAATGCACTGATGGCCTTCTCCCTGCCTACCACCACCTCCTTTCCCCCATCCACATACTCAGAAAAAAAATTATGGAGGACAACAAAGGAAGCTATATGCATTTGAGTGATTTACTAGTTTTCATCTAACTAATCTCTTTTCATAGATCCTGAATAATTTACCACGGGCTGCTATATTGATACTATTGTAAGTGGAATCTAACGTTTTTGTGATTAACTCTCATACGCTTAAGATGTTCTGGAAACAAAAATTAAAGGGTTTTGTTTTTAGTTCTTTTAAATTAAAAAGTCATCTTCTCTGAGTCTTTATTGGCTGTACCCTTTAGGTGTGTGTTGGTACCATTATTTTGTCAGTGAGATAGAGCTGGCACACACAGAGCCCCAGCTCTTGGCTCCAATGCAAAGCTTATTGGCATTATGTGTTAGTAAATTCCAAACCCCAGCATCGAAAAGTAAGTTAAAATCGAGTCTTGCTGGGTTAGTGTACAATAAACTATACCTACAGAATTTTTTAAATAGAAAGATGGCAAAGCTGCTGGTATAGAGTTTGTTCATTTTGTAAGAAAAAAGGGAAAGAAACACAAAACCTCAATGTTGTATACAAATAAAATTTTGTTCAACTACCTCTTAATGTGGAATTAGCTAGTTTAATATTTTCCTCACAGTAATGTTAAATAGTAACTGCCAAATTTGTTAGTTTCCCATCTCTCTTAAAAAGTCTTTATGATTATTTTATATAATTTCTAGAATTTTAAAGCTACTTTTTTTTTAACCTTGCATTTGCATAAAAACGGTTAGCTTTTAAGTGGAAAGCAAATTATGATCATGTATTTTGATATTCATGACCTATTTGACTGCAGCAGTTTTTTTTAAATGCACTTTGGCTATAAAACCATGGATGATTTGATCCATAAGATTTAAATGTGCCATCAATTTAGTATTCCAAGACATGAGCTTGATGAATGGTATTCTGTAATTATAATGTGCCACACATTATTGTGTCTTAATTGCCCTTTGCCTGAATTTTAATGATCAATTTGTTATTGTTGCAGATGTGAATATTGTGCATAAACTTGCTAAATTTGTGTATAATTGTATAAAATAGAATTGGAAATAGCTAAGTTCTTTCTCTGTAGAAGTAATGAATTTATTGTAACATGATGCAGTTATGTATATGAAATACTGTACTTGAACTGGATCATATATTCATAATTTCTGTAGATACTTTTGCATGAATATTTTCTCATTTAGTTTTTGGTTTCATTATTTGTTTTGTGTTTATTACTTGTGATCATGTAGTTGTGCCTTATTTTGTGAGAGAGTTTAGCTCAGTCAATATTGTAATTTCTAAACTCAGTGATTGGAAAGGTTATTGATTGTAAATATACTGATAAATTACATGGCTCAGCATTTAAATCTGTACAAAGAACAATGGAGGGATCCTTATTGAATTGTTGCTTTTTTTTAAATATGTTAAAGATGATATTAAAAAGCATTTCTTTCTAGTAGATGTATTCTGTGATTATAAATTACTTCGTCTATTTAAAAAAAGAGAGAACAAGATATTAGCCGTTTTGCATTAATTTATTTACAAAATATTGGAACTTTGCACTTGGATATAGGCAGTGGCGAAGTTCATCATGCTGTGCAGCTTAGAATAGTAATCATTTTAAGTTCATGATTTCAAAGGAAATTATGAATGCCATTTTGCTTAAGACATTCTCTTTTCATTCATTATTGTGTACCAAAACTAAAATATTTTAAAAATATTAAATTAATCCCTTTTTTCATTGTCTATCTAAGTTTAATACTCAGATGCCCATTTAAAGATAATTTTCTGAGGGCTCAGGGTACCATTGTTTTCTGCTTTCTTTGTTTTCAAACTGGGAACTAGGTTATAGAGGGTTTTTTTTTCCATTTCACTCTCATGTGCTTCCCTCCGAAGAGTATAATGTGTAGATCCTCAAACAGGTAATATTTAATTATAATATAATTTATTAGATATGCTATTCTGTGAGCATTATATAATTCAGTTTATATAATACTCACTCATAAGCTGTTTTACATACTTTATTAATTTAGTTAGTCTTTCCTTTTTAGAGGGCTTAAGGGGGAAACTAGTCTTTTATACAGATAAAGATATGGTTTCTGGACTCGGGACTAAAGGTATCTTGAACAATCACCTAAGCCTAGTCCATTCTCCTCCTTTGAGGTCAGTATACGTAAAAATCTCTGACAGATGATTGTTAATATCTTTCTAAAAATGTCCATTCTTTGTAGCCAGACATTTTTTCTTAAATTCTCTCTTGCATAAATCTGTATTGTCTGGCCCTGGATATAATTGCTTTCAATTCAGTCTCATTCAGATCCTATCTCTAGGTTCACACTTGAAATCTGTTCTACTTCTTTACCTTTCTTTCCCCTCATGCTTTCCAAATTTTCCTTTCAATTTTACTTACTCCTAATAAGTGTCTGTCATTGTTACAAAGAGACTATGGCTGTGACCCTCCATTCTAATCGTGCTTGTTGCCCCTTGCACAAGAGCCTTTCTGTTGCACTTGTCAGTACAGCCTTGTTTGCTTGGTGAAATTTGCATTTTCCTCAAGTAGTTACTGTGCATATGACTCCCCCAAACTTCATCCTCTCTATCCCGTTCTCCAACTTAAAGAGATCAGTTAAGATATCTTTTGTCTTGCAGCCAAATCTGATAAATGTGCTACTTCCATTTTGGAACTTGCAAAAGGTACCTATCCTGCCTGGAATTGAAGGTTGTGAACTTCCATTTTATATGATCTGACCCTAATAGCTGTTTGCTTAAATGCAGTTAATAGTATACGTCACTCCCTGATAATACTATTATTCAAGCTGCCTTCGTAAAAATGTTAATGACTTTTCAAATCCTTCCAGGTAAAATTAAAAGCAACTACACTGTGCTAAAATACACAGACACATGCACAAAAACACAGTTAAAATCAGGAAGTATTTTTATAGCAAACACCATCATTCATCTAAAAATGAGGTTAAGAGGAAGATACCTTATTTGAAAATCTCCTATATAAAAAGTGCTAGCTGGTGAAACTGGAACAGATATTTATTGTTTTTTTCCTTAAATAAAATAGTGGAATTTCATTTTTGGGCTTTTCTACTTCCAAGTTAGAGTACTATAAAGTATACCTGAGATAAATGAACTCTTGGATAACGGGAATTAAAAAAAAAAAAAAAAAGCTGCTATTAAAGTCTAGGCCTTACTTATTGCTTACTATATTAAAGTGGAGGGGAGGGCATTGGTGGTTCAGTGGTAGAATTCTCGCCTTACATGCGAGAGACTCGGGTTTGATTCCTGGCCAACGCACCTTATGGGCAGCCACCATCTGTCACTGGAAGTTTAGGTGTAGTATGTTTCTAAACAGGTTTCAGCAGAGCTTCCAGACTAAGATGGACTAGGAAGAAAGGCCTGTTGATCTACTTCTGAAAATCAGTCAGTTAAACTCCATGGATCACAACAGTCCAATCCCTGACAGCTAACAACAATAATAATATTAAAAGAGCAATCAGACTTTGTATCGAAGGAGTTATTGTGTTTGAGGTAGGACTGTAAAGCAGTAAGACTGACTTACAAACCATATAGGAAAATTGATTTCATTATTTTACAGATACACACAAGGAAAAATGCTAGAATTCATATTGGAGGCAAGCAGTGGACATTGTCTTCCTCCTGACACCCCATTTATCTGATTATTCACCCTTTTACAAATTATGGTATCACCATACTTCACTCGCACCTCTTACAAGCCTGACTAACACATTATAAGCTAGTCTGGATATCAGTATATACTTGCCAAGAAATTCCCCAGAGCTGAAATCTGTTGTGGTCATTAATCCTCTGTACTGAGGATTTTCTTAACTCAAATTCTCAAATTCTGGAACTCCTTTCTGATGCCCATTTCCTTCTAGCTCATCACTAGGTAAGTGTTGCAAAAGCTTGGATGAGAGAATACTTAAAGCTCTAATATCTAAAAAGGTATGTGATAGCTTATTTTAAGTCCTCAAATGTGTTTTAGATTCTTAAATTTCAGAGGATTCTGCAGGCAGTGTGAAAAGGGAGATTTTCTTGGTTTCCTGACTCTTCATAAAGCAAGAGATTGCTGCAGTTATTTGTGCCATCCATGTTTTCTGAAAAAAAAGAATATATATATATATATATATAGAGAGAGAGAGAGAGAGAGACTGATTAGAGTAAGCTGACAATTTCTCACATATTTGGATTAACATTTTCCATTATATTTACTGGTTTGTTCTTTAAAACTGAAGGCTAATGAAATATTTGCACACATTTCCCATTTTCTTTCTTACATCAAACACAGCATAAATTTATCACATGAAAACACAATGGATTAAATGATTATGGTATGTGAGTTGGATAAACAGTCATGAGTAATCAAGGAACCATAATAGTCAATGATGACTAATTAGAAAAATAAGTACTGAGAATATAAAATGGAATTCCTTCAATTTCCATTTCATGTGGAAATAGTTCTTAATCAGTGGCATAATTTGAAAAGCAGACTTTGATGAAGGTGACCCAGGGAACTGAGTCCTTAAGAATAAGAGTGTATGTGTGGTGTGACCACATTGTTGCTTTGATGAAAGCCAAACAAGGGAAAGACAAAAATGGAAACTTCTAAGATAGAGAAACCAGAGTCAGAAGGGCATCTGCTCTTTCAACTCCATAGCTATAAAAGCAGTGGTATATTTTCAAAGGCAAAAGACATGATCATTATTACAGCCCACCCCTCATTTTATATTAGATTATTTGCATACTGGGACTTGGGAATTTGATTGGAGCATCTTAAAAGTTAATCATGCAATCCAAAGCAGTTCTTCCCCCCACCTGCCCACAGAAACTGCTTAGCTCAGAGGCAGCTTGGGCTTCTGAAGCAGGAGAAAATGAGGCGGCTGCAATTGAGGAAATTGTCAGCTCTGAGGTTTCTGAGCACAAAGTGGACTGGATGTCCCCCTCCCCTCCTCCCAACATCTGCCCTTTGCAAAGGGGGTAGGGAGAATACACAAAACTTTCCATTCACTGTTCCTTAAGAGGTTTCGGGTAAGATTTTTTCTTGCATACACTGAAGAATCAAAGACCTCCAAAGTTAAAACACATACTTTGATGTTTTCCGTTTGGGCTTGTAATAAGAATGCTGCTATACATTGGCGATATCCGTTTTCGTGTTGTATAAGAAAAGCATTTCTCAGCCCGAAGACTAGAAGAAGATATTACAAAGAGAAAAAGCCAAGTCATTTAATATGAAATCCACAGTTTCTTCTCAGTACAGAACCTGGTTTATTTTTAATGAGGCAGTAGGTTTACATAGGTACCAAAAAAAAAAAAAAAACTTCTGATTCCTAGGCCAAGACTCCACTGTGTCCAAATAGAGCCACTTAAAAATGAAAACCCTCTCTTCCTTAGCGAGAAATTTCTGGGCTTGATGAAATGCAATTATAGCTTAAGTGATGGAAAATGGGCTCCTCGTAGAACAAGCTAAGCATATTAAGTGGAAATTTTTATTAAAAAAATTATAAAATACGTAAAACAAGGTAAGTGTTTCTTTTTTGTCACTCACCACTCCTTTTAAAATGATTTATTCTTGTATGTAAAGGGAAATCACATCAAAATGATCTACAAAGTAAGATGTAGCAAAAATTCGAATGCACCTGAATGCTTCATAGCAGGCTAAGAAAAACTAAAAAATGGACTCAAATTCAGCATCCACAAAATTGAGATATGAAACAAAACAAAAAACCGTGTTGGCATGGTTTCTGTGTTTGCAAAAGAAACAGACTGCCTGTCTGTGTCACTTCTGTCATTCCCTAGCTGGTCTCTTAAAAAAACGACCAGAGATACTGGGAGAGCAGATTTCTTTCTTTCTTTTTTTTTTTTTATTTTTAATACAGCAGAAGCTCATAAAATGAAAACTTCTTCTTGAATTATTAATACAACACAGGGAATACACTTCTGCAACCTCTGTGTTCTTTCTGCAGTTGATTTATGTTTAGAAACAAAACAGGATCGTCTCCTGGTCACACCAAGTACTGCAGAGAGGATGAGGAGAGCAGCTGGTTTTTATCCTCGGCTGGTCATTAAACTGATGCTTGTCCATTGTCATTATTTTTATTTGTCGAAGTCTGTGAATTTAACCAGACTTCCCAAGGCAGGTTAGGACTCGTTTCAGAATTGTGAATACAAGACTTTTATCTTCTTAACTGCAAAATTTCCACTGTCATAAATTATACTCTTAGCATTCTAAACCACATAATTCCTAAATTCTACTACAACAAATAAAGTCTGTTAAGGTCATGAAATTCTGTCCAGCTTCTCTGGGGTTAGGGGACTTGAGCTTACTAAAATGGCTTTCTGCCCCGGATAATTAAAGCATTATTGAAGAAGAAGAACAAAGTAGGAGGCTTTGCACTACCTGACCTCAGAACCTACTATACAGCTACAGTAGTCAAAACAGCCTGGTACTGGTACGACAGATACATTGACCAATGAAACAATTGAGAACCCAGATGTAAATCCATCCACCTATGGTCACCTGATCTTTGACAAGGGCCCAAAGTCCATCAAATGGGGAACAGACAGTCTTTATAACAAATGGTGCTGGCAAAACTGGATGTCCATCTGCAAAAAAATGAAACAGGACTCATACCTCACACCTTATACAAAAACTAATTCAAAATGGATCAAAGACCTA